TTAATTAATATTACTGATCAGACATACAGGAGCATGAACAGGAACTGAAAAGTTATAAGTATAATAACAATCTCCTCTTCTCTGTCCCAAATTACAAACACATCAAGCACAGATCTTTAGCAACAGACGCTGAACAGACTTAAATACACTGCCTGGCCACATCAGTACACCTGTACAACTGTCTGCACCTCAGTTCCACTTCCGCCTTAACATTTGTGTTTATGAAGCTCAAAATGTTTCAGTTTTTGGTGAAACTGCCATAAATGCATAAATTCTATTCTATGTCTATTATTGTGGTCAGTGTTAAAGGTGGTGTTGTACTGGACTACATGATATTCAGAGGTGTTCCTAGTATTCTGACCCTGTCATGTCTATAGCTGGGGAGGACAAATATAGAGAGACACCTCTGAATATCATATAGTCCAGTACAACATTTGTACAGTTTATGAATTTATACATATATGACAATTTCACCAAAAACCGAAACATGTTGAGCTTCATAAACGCAGGTGTTAAGATGGAAGTGTTGGACTGAAGTTGTACAGGTGGCCATAATAAAGTGTCCACAATAACAGTATGAGCTATCTGACCTTGAGCATGGTTTGTCCCTTCTTCATTCACCTTAGAAGTGAATAAAGCTGTGCCAGAAATCCTTCCTCTGCATCTGAGCATGGTAACATGAGTACTTTTGCTGCTACAGACATTCTACATTTTCATGGGAATCTAGCAGTCTTATTCTGACTGTGACACCAAGCAGTCACCAGAAACACTGTAAGTCATCTCCTGGGGACCAAGATTAATCACAGCATACCTCAGGTCAAACTGGCCAGAAACGGTCAAGATATCTGGTTCAAAGTGTTGGAGCGACAGGCCGACGTACCGCCTGCTTGTTTGATCAGTCCAGTCCAGTAAACCAGAACCATTCTCATTCTGTGCTTCTGAACCAACTCATTTCTAGCATTTCTCTGATATTTGTGTGGCGTAGTGGTTGGAGCCTTCCAAAGTAAAACACTTGAATCGCTGTTTCATGGCCACCAGCAGGACACGGACTGTGCTGGGCAACACCACAAAGTGAACATACATCATTTTATGAATGTAAAATGAAGGAGCTGTCACTGGAACTCAGTGTGCATGCTAAGCAAACATAACTGTGGCAATAATATTTTGACCTTTACGGAGCCAACTGGGGCTTTATAGCAGTTTTAGTGAGCAGTAAATCCAAGCCAATAACATTTAAGCACAGCCCTGCTGTATTCCAGAAGCATCTTTGGCCTCACTGTCGGACCACCATGTGGTGGTTTGTGTTGAAATGTAACTGGATCAAATGAAGTGGTCAGTACACAGACCTGCATGCATACGCACAAAACAGGAGTGAGAATAGATCAGGGAAGTTCTCTTAACTACAAACATGGTAAAACAATAGTTCTTGGTTTCTCTGGCGGTGAGTTCTACAAAGCTGCTGTGACTGGGTTGATGGGAACAATCAAATACAGAGAAGTAACTAAGTACATTTACTCAGGTACTGTACTTAAGTAAAATGTTGAGGTATCTGTACTTTATTTAAATATTTACATTTTCTCCTATTTCATACTTTGAGTTCACACAAATATTGTACTTTATACTTTGCTATATTTATTTGATAACTTTAGTTATTAGTTACTTTTCAGAATAAGATGTATAAAACAAAATAGAGTATAATCATAACCTACAAGCTACTCAGCAGTATGTAACATTACCACCTTTGATGTACACAATAATGCATTAATAGTTATGATCCAATAATACTTTAATGTGGAATGTGCCTGCATAGTGAGTGGTTTTACTGTTGGTACTTGAAGTATATTTTGGTACTTTTACTTAAGTAACATTCTGAATGCCTGACCTTTAATTGTAACAGAGTATTTTGCACTGTGGTACTGTTGCTTTACCTTCTTCCACCACTGACCAAATATGACCACAAGTCAGCAACAGCTGGGAGAAGGTAAGGAGACAGACACTACTGATGTAGGCTGTTGCAAGGCTTCTACAGGCGTCAGTGCTGTCCAGCCAAAAATAAGAGTTTGCTAGTTTAATTGCCATTACCTAGCTGAGTCCAGCAGTTCTTAACCCATGCAGAGTCACATAGTAAATCTGAAGGGGGGAAAGTAGAAGGAAAAACTCTGCTACACAAATTTTTATTTATATTCCATCCTCTTTTCTTTTTTAACTAAATAATGGCCAATCTGACCTTACTGTGCTGTAAACAGCTGTTTAAATGAAACCATGTGAGAACTTTAGAGGACAAATGTCTTTTTGTTGGAACAGTAACCATTTGTTTTCCAGTACAACTGTCAGACAAATGTAACAGAGTAGAAAGTACGTACAAGTCCAGTGTTGCACAAAATGTAACTACTCAAAGCTGGTGAATTAGGTACATGTACTTAATTTCCTCCCACTGCTAGTTTCTTAAACCAAGTACTGACTAAACCAAACTTTAATCATAGTGGCAACATATCAGAAAACGTGGCTCTGGAGGAATTGTTGCCACCTTTACAGCATATCTAGGTTTATACAGCGGGCCTACACTCTTGTTTTAGTTCATACAGTATGTCTATCTGGCATCAGGTTGTCGTGCTGAAGAAATAAGGGCATGACCTGTTGTGAAATGTTTGTGTGAACATGTCATCCCCACAAAGAAAAGAACCCTGTGGACTCTCAGTGAAATGATCACAGCAGTTTTAATATAAAAGCATAAAAACATGATGGCAAACTCGTACTGTATATCAAGACTCAAGTCTCATGGAGTTGGGTCTCACATTTATCATTTGAATGTCCATAAATTATTTTAACTGTAATTGCCAGACTGTAATTAAAGTTTAATTAATTACCTCTTTCTCATTTAACAATGTCACATCTGCCAAATATAGCAGTTAATCAAAAACAAAAATGAGCTTATCTTCTGTGTAAAGTTTCACCAAAGCTCACAAGATCCTTGTACTAATTTTCTTTCCATGACAGAATATTTTAATTCAAATCTTCTAGGCTCCTTTAATTGAAATATAATTGCAATGTCTGGGAGGAGCACTGTGTCGAATTCAAGCTCATGCGTTAACTACGGGCACAGTGTTGCTTTGACTCAGTCGTCTCTTGCAAGAAATGAGTTGCTTTGGATTAATTCCATGCAGAAATGAAAACAAAAGAAAAAACACCCTATGCTCTTATCAGTTAGTGCACAGTGACCTAGTCCAGATGGTTGTTTTCCCCACGCTGCAGTAACAACTGAAACACCTCAGTGTCACTGGACAGATGTCCCATTTATCTATGTCTCACTACGTAGTCTGCATATCTGTTCATCTCTGTGCCCTAACTTCACTGGTGCCCTGCTCACTTTACCACCTCCGTCTTCCTTTTCAATCATCATCCTCTGTGGTAACTCCCTCCCATGGTGCCAGCAGCTCCATCACCTCCCCCTTCCATCTGTTAATTGGATGAGCTGTCACAGTTGTGAGGATGATTAAACTCATGGAGCCCCCGTAAGATGAGCAGGGAATATTAGTGTAAACCTATCCACAGTCCCATCACCTGCACACAAGGTGCAACACATTCAATGCTTTGTGTGTCATATGAACCCCACAGCCAGCCATGGCCAGAGATCAGAAAAGGAAATATGTACTGTCCAAGTTTTGAACTCAGTGATCTTTCAGAAATGATACAACATATACTGGACATAGTGTCAAGGTCATCCTGGATCAACTGAACAGGAAAACATTTGGACACGGAGGTGCGTGGACACTGAGCTTGATGTGGCACCGCAGTCCTCCTTCTCATTCAGTCTTTGATATGAACAGTTTGTGCACAGTATTTTCCTTCGACGTGCAGGAGTATGGGGTGCCGTTTGTCAAAATAGCACTTACACTAGTTTTCTCACATTTAGCTGAATGTGACAAAGTCTAAATATAAATGTTAAATATAAATGTAAATGTAAATCTTAAATGTTAAATGTTAAATGAATCGCCAAGTGTAAAACTGAATATTTAGTAGCTCCACAGCCTTGCCCTATTACAGCGCAGCACACAGCCCCGCCCGTGATGCTGAACTCGAATCAGTGATGATGACTCAAAGACCTCAAACCCAGAGTCAGGTGTGGACGGGGCTGTGTTTGAAGTCTTTGAGTCAGCATCACTGATTCGAGTTGAGCATCATGGGCGGGGCTGTGTGCTGCGCTGTAATAGGGCAAGGCTGTGGAGCTACTAAATACTTGGCGATTCATTTAACATTTAACATTTAAGATTTACATTTACATTTATATTTAACATTTACATTTAGACTTTGTCACATTCAGCTAAATGTGAGAAAAGTAGTGTACGCGCTATTTTTCCAAACGGCGCCCCATACAGGAGTAGGCTATACATAAACAAATATATAAAGTGCTGGGTGTATAACAGGTCAGCAAACTCTATAGAAGATTGATAACAGGTATCATTTAAAAATATAAATTATTTAAGTTACAAGCAAAATTGACGTAAAGCCAAGTGCGTCATCGTGGACTTACGTGAGTTTTGCGTTACAATGCCATTGTAGACACAGGACATGTCTGCTTTGAGAAAACACTGCTTCCTCCGAGCCCAACTGTTGACGGACAACTGTGACTCAAATCAGCCAAAATATTTTCATAGACAGCCTGCACACTGTATTTTCTCTGTTTGGAAACGCAACTTTTACTTTGCCCCAAAATATACAAGACAAGTTCAAGCTAAATGTAAAGCAAGAACACATCCGTGAGCTCCCTCCACTGCTTTTCATGCCTGGGAAGTAACAGTTTATGTAAGGCCGATTCTTCCCGAGGCTACTCCATGGAGTTTTATGATGCCAGAAATGATTAGACTAACATTCTGATCCGCCTGAATGTTTAATAACAGGAGCAAGGTTATAGAGTCACACGAATCGCTGGCTATTCATGATCCAATCAGGTCACATTTAGACTAAGGTTGGCCGGTGACGCATATAATTTACAGTTCGTGATGTCAACCCCGCTTTGGTAATGTAACTACACTGAAGTAGCTTACGCTTGTGGCTGGAATCCCACTACTGTCCTGTCGTTACTAAGCAACACTGCTCAGACTACTATAAAGGAGCAAGAAGCCTTTCTGGACCCCAGGACGCACGGGAGCAGAGAAGCTGCTGCAGAGACTGGGCGCGCAGGGAGCACTGGACACAGTGGCGGGAGCCAGGCACAGCATTCTGACGCACGCACGCGGACTATTGTTGTTGTTGAGAGCTGAAGGAAGAAGCAGTGCGCACATACAATACAGCTGCGGTTCGTGCCGAAAACCTTACCAGTTTATTTTTGTTTTCAAACAGCAGTAAATCTAATTTTAGTGAGTCGATTTACAAGTTTGGCATCATGAAGTTCCTGCTTTTACCAGTTTTAGTGGCTTTTTTCGCCGTGCCCCAAGTTTTTTGCGAGGAAAACGACCCAAAAGAAGAGACCGACTACTGGACGAGCAGTAACCAAAATCAGGTAGGCTAGTCTGCAGCACAAACGTATTTCAATGCTCCACTTAATCAGTTAATGTCACTTATTTCTCATGATTAAGTTCTAGTCGAAAGCAAAAAATGTCCTCGTTGTTCTGTTGTGGATGAAAGTTGCTGCACCTCTGTGCTTTGTAGCCTAAAGAGAGCGCAGCGCCAGGATGACTGTGTTCCAACTGGATCTATTAGCGTTGTTTTAATCAGTGGTGTCAGTTAACCTACTGGGGTTAAACCCAGCTTATTAACTACACCAAAACCTTTTAAACACCTGTCTAGACCTTACAAGGGCTGTGCACCTCTGCACATAAAGTTGAGCAACAGCCTAATGATGAGATAAAGAATTAGACATGTAGGTAATAATAATATCAGCCTGTTAGAAATACGAAATCAATAAATCTATCCAGCTATCTGTCTGTCTGTTTTATATGACGTGGTTTAGTGCCTTTTAAAAGTAATTCTTTGCTCTGTCCATCTTCCATAATTTCGAACTGGACAGGACTGGTAGTACTAACTAATTAGACCTACAAGTGCATCTACTTCCTAGAAAAAGCTGAAACAATCCTACTTAAAGAAAATACGGGTTCAGCATTCAGTAACTCTCAAATGAAGATGAAGATGGCTGCAGTGCTCAGAACAGCCCGCCAGTTAGATATTAAATAAACCCAGTCGGCAGGGAGCAGAAGCCCAAACCGCCTCCATTGGTATGAAACGCACGTCCTGTGTTGAACATTACGCGCTGGAAACGAGCCACACTCCTCCGTCAGGAACTTTTACTGTAGACCGGGCCGTTCTGAAGACGAATGAGTCCCCCATATATATTATTCAAAGTTAGTGGCCCCTGAGGTAGAAATAGAAACAATTCATCAAAGCTCCTAGTTTGTACGGTGGATTTTTTTGGGAGGGCGCCCACATAATACCCTTTCTCTTTGCAGTTGCTTCTCAGTTTTGCTTGATGTGTTAAAGAGGTTTCAGCATTTTAGTGGCAGATGACCTTAGACACAGGGATTTACAATGATAAGTTCACTGAGATTTTGCCTCCTCAGGATGACTGGCTTTCCAAAGACCCATTCAGAGAAATCCTCCTGAGGATGACAAGAAAGCCTCAGCCGCATCAGTTCATCGGCCTGATGGGGAAACGCTCTGCAGGTGAGAGGCTCATTCTCAGTGACATGCAGTTTTTATTTCCATCTGTACCTGTTTTTACACCGTGTCCTATCTTTCCTCCCACAGCAAATGCACAGATCACTCGCAAAAGTAAGTCACCTGCTACATACAGTACATATTTATTATTTTAATTTTCCTCAAACCCCTAGGCTTGGATAGTTGCTTGCATGTTCATCAAAACTCCCACAATTAGGATGAAATCATTCAAATTTACTGGAAGTAGAGGAGTTCCAGCTGATGACTCCATACGTTAGGTCAATGCTTCAGATTACAGGAAACTCTTGTCCTCATGACCTCATTCCTCATCTCTGGTCGTTCTGGCTTGGTCTTTTGTCGCTGTCAGCTCTCCATGTTCGGTCTTTTGTAGGTTTTCTTATAACCTGAAAGATTTAAAAGCTCTATAATGGGTTCACGGAACTATCCTGTGCAGGGTGGTCATGTGTGTCCTCCCCCAAAAAAGAAAGTCTCACAAATATCTTATTTGGAGTTTCCATATTTTATTAGTTCTGTTTATCTGCGCTGTTTTATTTATTATAGCTTTTATTCCCCCAACAAAGGCTCCTTCAGTCCTAATTTATATTATGCTGACCTAAAAGTAGTAACATTTAAACATGTCAAGTCTAAAAAACACTGGAATTGAACTAAAATACTCATGACAGTTTTGAGTTGTAGAATATAAACTCGCATCATGTTGCTAAAATCTCCAACCTTCCAGAAAAAACATAGAACACGAGAGCAGTGTCCTCAGCTGTAACCTCTGAATTATCTGAAGGAGCGTAAACCAGTTCTGACACTGATGCTTTGTTGTTGCTTGTCCTACTCAAACTATAGGAACATTTGGACTCCTATCACCTTAACCATGAGAAGCACCATCAATTCAAATGAGCTTTTCAGTTTTCTGAGTAATTATATGCCTGACATCTGACATCATGCTAATCATGGAGCCAGCAGGTGTTGAGGAGAATGTGCACTCATCCCAGAACAGAGTACCACCAGTAAAGAAGTCTGTCATTTGGGTTCAGATGCTCAGGTCCAAAACAGAGTAGTGTAATTAACAGGAAAAAATCCTTTCATTATTTGCTCACATTATTACTAAATGAGTTGAATGTCTGTGCCAGAAAGAGTGGGCAAATTGGAGGGAGCAAACCGTTTCACAGGGTTTAATTAATAGACAGCAACCAAAGATTATTTTATGTCACTGTTTTTGCCGTTCGTTTGAACGCTGCAGCACAGCAGACGTCTGTGTGGGACAAAGAGGAAACAGATAAAGAGCGCAGAGGAAAAAGGAATGAGAAGGACAGGATTTTCTCTTTTCTCTGCCTTTTTGTTTTGTCTAAATTAGGCACCCACTCAGTAACTGCAACACAGCACAGCATAGGTAAACATCTAATTTATCCCTCTTATGCAGGCATGAATTCAAGTCACTCATCATTAGGGAGAGGGAGCGTGCTGGGATCAATACCCCAAGGACATGTGAGAGTTAAATTGGATTGTTTACGCTCGTGATGGATAGAGGGGGCTGCGTGATGTTTTCTACACTTGCACTCTTACACAGTTACTAAACATACTAAGACTGATGCAAGCACGACTACATTTTGTCACTGTCCCCAGTTCAAGGTTCCATTCTTAGTGAGAGTCAATGCAAACAGTAATGTCTGTAATGTCAGATAGTTCCTCTCTGTAGCTGTATAACCCCAAACCGATATCCCCTCCCTCCAAGCTCATGTTGCATCCACTGCAGTGATTGAGAGGGGCCCCAGTCAGCCTGTCATGCAACTGTCCATCACATTTGCATCACAGTAAACCTGTCAAACCCTAGTGCCTCTCAGAAGTTCTGTTTGGGTCTGAACAAAACTGGCTAGGTTTCACAGAACAGAGATAAGGACACAGAGATCATATCCATGGTTTTGCGTCTAGAAACGGGGGGGTTTAATGACCTGAGATGAATTTACCTTCTACAGCTCTACAGGTTATCCATGGCTGGCTTTGAAGGTTTCCTAATATTTCTTTAGTCCGCTGTTGGCCGCTGGGATTAACCTGAGGGGTTGTAAGATGTTTAACAGGGTTTTGCTATAAAGAATTACATTTGTTTTGTCATTCAGATTACCTTTATTTTGAATTACTACTCTTCAGGTGTCAGATCAATAGCGTGATGAGGACTGATCAGCCTGTGATGGCAGACAGAGCTTTGTTATTTGAGTTCACATGTGTTACACATGCACAGAAAGTTCAGAACCACTGGATGTCTTGAGTTTTAATAGTTTTAGGTAAAATAGATGAATGAGTGAATGAATAACTAAACTTAAGCTGAACTTTTGACCTTAGCTGATGCTTGTGGCATTTAAGTTGGGTTTAGTCGGCAGACGTGTTGTTCCAAGTGAACTGTTTTTAACTACAGTATTTTTTCAAGGGCATAAAGTCAACTCATTTGTTGGACTGATGGGGAAAAGGAGCCAAGAGGAGCCAGGTAAGCTACATTCAAGTCAGTTCTGTTCATACCTAGTAGTTTTTACTGTTTTTTTAATTAAAAGACTAGAGAAAGTAAAATGTGTGCTGAAGCTAACAAGCTCTGTCTCTCTGCAGAGTCCTATGACCGGAGCACAGTACAGACATACGACAAACGCCATTAAGTGGTCACTTCTTCACCTGCTTGCTTCTCGTCTGGCCAGTCTTCATCCATGGGAGGGGAACCCCACATTGGTTTGTTTTCTCAAAACTGTGTATAGCTGTTAGTCAAATAAAATGTTTGTTTCCACATTGTAGCAGCACTGTACTGTGCCAGATTCATTTGCCCAAGTGAAGGCATTGTGGGGTGAGAAGAGGGGGAATTGTGTTATTGTCAGTGTTAGTGGTTTCTGTGAGCGTTTTCTACCATCTGCCATGGCACAAAGACTAAATGTTGTTGTGGACCATCAAAGCAAGGCTGTACCCCAGGGTATGCTGAAAATTGCACTGCTAAAATCACTGTGTAGTGCTTCATAACTGATTGTGCTACAAATACAACACACTGACATGTTCTCATTTGGACATTTAAGTGACTTTAGAAGAGCTGCCATATTCTCCATCTGGTCACATAATTTGACATGACAAGACACCTGTGTGTTACCGTGCTTTGACAAATATTAAAATGATTTTCTTTACTGGTTTAATCTCAGCTTGCAATTTGCAGATTCCTTGTGATACGTCCAGTAGGTGACAAAACCATTAGTGCAGGTGATGCAAGGGTGCCGCCTGGTGGTGGACCGAGGCATGAGGAAACCAAATTTAAGTGCCAAGAGATGGATTTATTTTAGCTGCAATAAGTGTGAAACACAGACAGTTACTAGAAGGTGAGAGGCAGACAGTGGCTATGCTAGACAGAGAGTGAACCAATGTATAGAACTGAAAAGTGCCATCCAACACAAGCACCCTGCTGAAAGCTCTTTGTGAAGCTTCTAGCGTTTGATTTTGTAGTGTTCGAGTTTCAGACTACAGTGAGTGGTGCTGTACCGCAGTATGTTGTCAGGTAATATTTCTTCCACTGCCTGAAGTTTTCTCAAAGTACTATTTAAAAAATATTTGATTGTATGTAACTTTGGTAATGATACTAAGTTCCCCTAAAGAACCATGCAGTTTGGTATTAATTACAGGAAAATAGACACTTTTAGTGAGTGAGATTTGTTATTGGCTTCCAGATGAGTTTATATGAAAAAAAATTGCTCAATTTAAACCGCTGTTAATATTTACTATTCATTTATTATTTGAAATGTTATTCTTCATCTTTGCTGAGTTGTATAGTTGCTTGTCAACAGATTTCATCCTTAGCATGTGTAGCTCACCTCCTGTCCTCCGATTAAAGGCCTCAGGTTTGTGCTAGCTTAGCATTTAGAAATAACTACGAGTACCAACCGATCACTCTCTAATTTTACCTATACTGTAATTTGTTCCAAATGATATGGGTCATCTTATGACCATATCTTAGGAAATGATCTTAAAAAAGGAATTTACAGACTTGTAAAATGATATGTTACTGTAACTTTTTATCAGATATATGTTCACTGGAAATTCAATTAAAAGATCAAAGTTCTTCTGCATATTAATGTAACTGAAATCATCTAGATAGATGGCAAATCATGTATCACCACATTGTCACACACACAAATGTCAGTTTGCATAACCAGTCCCAATCCAAGATTTATTTCCAAGTGAAAAGAACCAGCAGAGATGGCATTTATCAGTGTGAAAGGATCACACATGACTCACCTCTACCCATAACAACTGTCAAGATGTCCCTCACACACATTGCATAATCTGCTAGTCAACAAGTTGGAGCATCAGCCTTTTTAATTATTAGCAGCTCTAGATAATCCATTAGTGGTAAAAGATGAACAAGTGAGGTCGGTTAGGAGAATAGACATCTAACTGGTCACTGTGTGGTTAAGCAATAGGCTGATTGCAACCATTTATCATGACGACAGTACTTTATGAGGCTACAATATCCAAGTAGTAGCAGCAGGAAATGCGGCTGAACTCAGTTCAATTTCAGAACAAATACTGTAGCCCTCAACAAGAAAATAAACGGCACCCAAACCTGTCTGGGATTAAAGGAAATGACACTGAAGCTGATAATCAGTTTTTCCCTTTGAAAATAAAAAAATTACAAACACTTCTTGACACAGCCAAAAGGCTGTTGTAACAGCACACAGACTGTCATGGCAGTGCATCACATCTCAGACTACTTCAGCTCACAGTCATGTTTTAATTGGGTCAGGTAGCTTCTGACAGCAGACCTCACAGTCACACGGCCCTGTAAGCTGCTCAGTCGAATTTAGCACTATAATATATCTAAAACCTAACTATACCCTAAAGATGACGATGTATTTGTTGTGGCAGATTATCTGTCTCAAGCAAGTTTCAAGTCTCTGCAGGTTAATTTTCATTTTGTAAAGTAATGACATTAACTGAAACCAGTGGCTGCCAGGAAGCTTGGAAACTAAGGCACGATAAATGGCATGCTTTAGAAGATGGCTAAAAAAAATCTTTAGCCATTTCTTTTGGCTACCACAAAGGTGTTTATAGTTAATATCACAAATCAATAGCACCGGTCCTTGATCAGGGCATCTTAACAATGTCTGGTATTTGCATGGCAGGTTGGAAAGTATGTTTGAGAGCAATAAAGGTAAAAAAAAAACAAAAAACTGAATATCATGTGTTTAAGTAATATTTATTTGCATTGTACATTCAATGAATAAAACATAATATTACATCAGTCTAGCTTTTATATTTGCCAGGGTTAACTGGATGTAACTATTGTGGCCCAAGGTCTTTGGTCTTCTATTTCATCTGCATGTGACTAAACAGATTTGCTTGCATTTTAATACCAGTCCTGAACTGCTCACACACCCACTGATGGGTCGGTGGCGTCGATCCAGCGGGGCATCCAGTAATGAGGGAGCCACTCTGCTTGGCCTGGGTAGTGCTTCTCAAACACTTGTCTGTAGTAGTATGCCTCTTTGGTGTGTGGAGGGTTGTGAGGGAACGTCTTGTGAGTGTTCTCCATCTGGTCGTCATTCACCTACGAGAAGACATGAGCAGGTCAGACGCTGACGAACTACAGCTTCTCTGCATCTCTACACATTGGAAAACCTGTCGAGGGAGGACTCCTCCATGTACAGTGTTTAAACACAGTCATATCTGTTGTTGTTCACATACAAATGCACATCATACACATTCAAGCAGTGACTACTGACTACAAGCATGTTTTTCCATTTCTAACTGGTAAAGTATATACTTTTCATGTCTGTGCAGATTCTCAGTCATCCAGGTCATAGTAAGCTGAAAAAACTTCAACTGGACTAGATTTCTAGGTCTGGGAGTCATCAGAACTTTAAATCACAGGGCAGAGGAAGTGCCCACAACTGCAGAAGGGGCCAAGAAGGAGAAATTACACATCCAGAAGTCCCTTAGGGCTTGTAGATACCCTAAGTGGGCCTTCACCAAAGCAAGGAAGAGGCCCAACACCAACAGGAAGAAACCAGAAACAAGAGGGGATAACACTGTCATCCCTTATATGGCTGGTTTATCAGAGAAGTTAAAAAGGATATTTCGCAACCACAATATCCCAGTTAACTTTAAACCAGGGAACACCCTGCGGCAGAGACTGGTCCACCCAAAGAACAAAACACCCAGACATAAACAGAGTGATGTGGT